ATTGCTGCTGCCGCTGCTGCTGCTGCTGCTGCTGCTGCTGCTATTGCTGCTGCTGCTGCTGCTGCTGCTGCTGCTGCTAGCTTTCACTGCTTCTTGAGGGCAACAGGCCGCCAGAACTGCTGCAGGCGCTGCGGCTGCTGCTGCAAGTGCTGCTGCTGCTGCTGCTGCTGCTGCTGCTGCTGCCTCTGTCGACATCTCTGACGCGTATGCAGCAGCAGCTGCTGCTGCTGCTGTTGTTGTTGTTGTTGCGGATGAAGCACCTGCCGCTGCTGCAGTTGCTGCTGCTGCTGCTGCTGCTGCTGCTGCTGCTGCTGCTGCTTGCCTGGTGGCCATGCTGTATTTAGTCTTCTACTGCAGCAGCGGATCGAGCTAAATGTAAAGCGCTGCTGCTGCTGCTGCTGCTGCTGCTGCTGCTGCTGCCGCTGCTGCCGCTGCTGCTGCTGCTGCTGCCGCTGCTGCTGTGGGTACCATTGCTGTCGCTGCTGCTGCTGCTGCAGCACACGTTGCTGCTGAAAGTGGTAGATATGCGGTTGCTGCTGCTGGTGCAGCTGCTGCTGATGTTGGTGCTGCTGCAGCCATGTCTGCTGCTGCTGCTGCTGCTGTTGCCAGGGCCTCTGCTGCATCCAGGGCTGCTGCTGCTGAAACAACAAATGCTGCTGCTGCTGCTGCTGCTGCTGTTGCTGCTGCTGCTGCTGCTGGAGGTGGTTTTGGCGTTGCTGTTGGCTGGTGTGTTGCCGTTGGTGCTGCATGACCTGTTGTTGTTGCTGCTGCTGTTGCAGCAGCAGCACATGCTGCTGCTGCTGCTGCTGCTGCTGCTGCTGCTGCGTTGGTTGTCTGCAGCAGCGCGATGCTGCTCGCCAGGGGGGGAGAGAGGGAGCTGCCTGTACACCTGAACTGCTGCTGCCTCTTCTTTGTCCTATATACAAATATTTTGGTTGCTGCTGCTGCTGCCGTAGCCGCTGCTGCTGCTGCTGCTGCAGTAGCAGCAGCAGCTGCGAAAGCGGCTCCCTGCTGCTGCTTCTGCTGCTGCTGCTGCTGCTGCTGAGGACATATTGTGCTGCTGCTATAGATACTGCTGCTCCCCAGCATCTAGGATAGGGCCCTTCAGGTTCGCATGCATCATGCAAGCTCTGCTGCTGCTGCTGCTGCTGCTGCTGTTGCTGCTGCTGCTGCTGCTCTTCGTGCTGCTGCTGCTGCTGCTGCTGCTGCTGAAATATGTGGCGATGAGAGGCCCTCGCTGCTACCGGCGTTGACGGCAGCAGACGCAGCACGTCTTCGAGCGAAGACCTTTGCTGCAGCTCTTGCTGCTGCTGCTGCTGCTGCTGCTGTTGCTGCTGCTGCTGCTGCTGCTGTTGCTGCTGCTGCTGAGTGCAGCAGAAAATAGGAAGGAGAGCAGCAGGACATTTTCGTTTCTCCTCTGCTGCAGCTTTTGTTGCTGCTGCTGTTGCTTCTGCTCTTGCTGCTGTTGTTGCTGCTGCTGCTGCTGCATGCGTCTCCGACTCTGCAGCAGCAGCAGCAGCAGCACGAGCATCACCAGCAGCAGCAGCAGCAGCAGCAGCAGCAGGTGTATATGTTGTCTCTGTCGGGGTGTCAACTGTCTCCGTTTCGCTTGCTGCTGTTTCTGCAAGAGGAGACCTTTGTCTTTGCTGCTGCATCTCCTTACCAGCAGCAGCAGCAGCAGCAGCATCTGCTGCTGCTGCTGCTGCTGCTGCTGCTTGCTGCAGCAGCAGCTTGTGAGCCTCGCTGCTGTGACGGCGCAGCTGCATGCGC